AGCTTTCAAAAATAAAGTTTTTAATAGTCTAGTCAGTTGAGATAAAGTCGACAAGTCCCACCAATTTTCAATAATACCTGAAAATGAATTTCGTAAAAAAATACATAACAATAATTAGATAATTTGCGGGAGGAATAAAATGTAATATTACTTGTGTTTATTACATATAATATGCAATAGCTCCTGACAGACTTGGGAAATTGTTCGTTCGCAGATAAACAGAGATGTAAACTATACGTTGAATTTGAAAGTTCCAGATTTTGTTCCAAACATCCTTTCGTAAATTCCATTTGAGAAAAATCTTCTTTGACGTTTTCTGGGGATGGATTCATTAATTATTAAATACATATTTTATAAAATTTTACAATATGTCAGAATTCTCTTGTCTGATTCCCCACCACACTTGCGATCGAATCATATTCCGCATTGCCAGTAACGCGTGCTCCTGTCCATAGCCATATAGGCAACTCGATTTGCTGAGTATATTACACAGAGGCCTGCTTTATTAGTAATGCAGAACCTACACATCAGTAAATCAGGTTGCCTGTCTGCCCATGGGCAGAAACATGCTTTACTAATAATGCAGAATAAGATTAGATGACAAGTCCAACGGAGAATGAGACAAAATTGAATTTTACATGCTACTAGTATACTATAAAGTTCAACAATAAGATTAAAAAAATTTTTTAATATGTATTAAATGTTGTCATTTATCATTCTCCGCCGGATTTGCGATCTAATCATATTCTGCATTACCAGTAATGCGTGCTTCTGCCCATAGGCATATAGGCAACTCGACTTACTAAGTATATTATACAGTTAAACACAGAGGTGTAAATCATAAGTGAATTTGACCAAATTTTGTTCCTAATCAAAATGTTCCAAACTGATCCAGCTTTCAAAAATAAAGTTTTTAATAGTCTAGTCAGTTGAGGTCAACGAGTCTCACCAATTTTCAATAATACCTGAAAATGAATTTCGTAAAAAAAGCCTCATGCATAATAATAATTAGATAATTTGCAGGAGGAATGAAACATAATATTAGTTGTGTTTATTACATATAATAGCTCCTGGCAGACTTGGGAAATTTTTCGTTGCAGATAAACCGACATGTAAACCATACGTGAATTTGACAAAGTTCCAAATTTTTTTCCAAACATGTTTTCTTAAATTCCATTTGAGAAAAATCTTGACGCTTTCTGGATGGATTCATTAATAAAAGGTTTACTTTACTACAAGGAAATCTCGACAAGAAATGCATCATGAAACGTATCTTTAAATTACAAGTTACATAATAATATACGTACAAGATCGAACAAACAATTAGATTTATGCAAGACATCAACATTCGGTAATTGTTGAATTAGCCTCCTTATCTCCTCGAGGTTGATAAAATAAACTCATTCGACGCATTTTTGCACTACATGAAAAATTTGCCCCGCGAACCGAGTTATTAGTTGTTATTAATTACGGTTGATAGATATCCAGAGGAAATCTGTTGCATCGATGGCATAAAGGATTAAACTAATTTTTTGCTTTACAGACAAATATTAACCAAGCAAATACTCTGCTGTAATCTATGCCACCATCGATATGACAGATTTCCTAACCTGAATAGTCATCAACTTTAACGATTAATATCTCGGTCCACGGAGTAATTTTTTTTGCCAGATTCGTTCATTCCGTACAAAAACGTATCGAGTAAGTCTAAAATGTGTATTGCAGAAGCAGAAAATCACTTACGTGTTCCTTTACTACCATCGATGTGACGGACCTAACCTAACCAAAATGTATACACTAAGGGTACGTATCCACCGTCACGCGTCGCGTCGTCCACCGCGTCACGACTCGACGCGAAAGAGAGAAAGAGTGAAGTTTATTATACCCCTGTCTTTCGCGTCGTGACGCGGTGGACGACGCGACGCATGACGCGCTCATGGAAACGTACCCTAATAATTGTCGTGTCTACAGATCGCAGCACTCGCTGATCATGTATGTATATCACTAGCGCTCCTTGCGTAAAGAATGTCAGAAGGACACGAAACTAGCGCTCCCTGCGTAAAGAATGTCAGACGGACATTAAAGGAATGCGCGGAATGTGGTCTACGACAATGACAATGACAATAAGGACGACGTGTCTGAATCTGAACTGAAAAAGTAGCAGTTCGGAACTTTGCGTCGCGATATCTCCGCTTGTAGGGCACGTAGAAAAAAAATAAAAGCCCTTTTATCATACAATCCGTGTGGTGGCTATCGATTAAGCATACATAAAACGCGATCGGTTCAGCCGTTATTGAGATCCGATAATCTCGATCTGGCGCAACTCGTCGGTTCGCGTAAAGGAGGCATGGCAGTGTCCGCTGTGCGTAGCTTAGCGCCGAGACACTACCAATGTCTCCAGATTTCTACTTTTCGTCTCTCCTAAGGTCAATAAATGTTGCAGCTGAAAAAATTAACGAACAAGTAAATATATATATGTGTATATTATATGTATATATACATATAATATACACATATATATATATTTACTTGTTAATTTTTTGTGTATGCATATATACAGTGATGGGAGAAAGTTCGGCAACGATCAAATATCTTGGAAAATAATGCTTATGGAAAAAAATGTTCAATACAAAAGTTTTAGTATATCAAG